TCTGTCTCAGTGTCATCCCCCAAGACCCCACCCCAAGAAGGAGTATTTCCATCACCTTGGGTAACTTTAATCTAGTACCGTTTAAGGCCAGGGACTTTGTCTCTCGGTATCATGGGAATATTCTAATTTTTTTCTCTACTGGATCAAATTGAAAACAGTACATTGGATCACTTTATAAACAGTTTATTAGGTTCCTTTTTGAACAACTGTCTTGTGTTTTACCTTCATTTCCCTCTTACCTATTTATGTAGACATTGGATCTTCCTTTAACCAGTTTACTCCCCAGAAGAGATTTCTAGACCATGTCACCATTTTCACCATTTTGAAGTATACAGTTCAGTGCCTTAATTACATTTGCAGAATTCTGCAACATTGTCACTGTCTAATTCCAAAATTTTTCATCATCCCAAACAAACTCTGCCCATTAAGCAGTAACTCCTCATTACCCCTCCCCGCAGCCCCTGGTTTACCTCTAATATACTTTCTTTTTTTTTTTTTTTTTTTTTTTTTTTGAGACAGAGTCTTGCTCTGTCGCCCAGGCTGGGGTGCAGTGGCCAGATCTCAGCTCACTGCAAGCTCCGCCTCCCGGGTTTAGACCATTCTCCTGCCTCAGCCTCCCGAGTAGCTGGGACTACAGGCGCCCACCACCTCGCCCGGCTAGTTTTTTGTATTTTTTAGTAGAGACGGGGTTTCACCGTGTTAGCCAGGATGGTCTCGATCTCCTGACCTCGTGATCCGCCCGTCTCGGCCTCCCAAAGTGCTGGGATTACAGGCTTGAGCCACCGCGCCCGGCCATACTTTCCATCTCTGTGAACATGCCTGTTGTAGATATTTCTTGTAAATGGAATCATACAAGATTTGTGCCTTTGTCTCTGGCTTCTTTCACTTAGCGTAGTGTTTTCAGAGTTCATCTGTGTATAGAATGTATCATTCCTTTTTATGGCTGAATAGTATTCCATTGTGTGTGACACCGCATTCGGTTTATTCATTTATCTGTCGATAGGCACTTGGGTTGTTTCCACTTTTTGGCTACTGTGAGTAATGCTGTGAGCACTGGCGTTTAAGTGTGTTTAGTCCCTAGTTCATATCTTTTGGGTTTTTACCGAGAATGGAATTGCTCAGTCATTTGGTAATTCTATGTTTAACTTTTTGAGGACATGCCAAACTCTTTACTTTCTTAGTTATGATAATACTTAAGTGAATACCTGTATTCGTGAAACTTTTTTGACACTCCCTCTTATTTCTTTAAATTCCTTGAAGTGAGATTAATGGGTCAAAAGGTGCAACAGTTTGAGACACCATGCTAAATGCTATCCAAAAGGCTTGAACCCCTTTTGCTGCTGCCACAGATGTCTGAGAATGCCCTTGTCACCAAACCAACATGGCACTTAATATTTCACTGTTTTAAATGTTGGAGAATATTGCTCTCCATTTCTGATGGAACCATAGTCTAGCGACAGAATGGCTTGCCTGACACAGCTCCTGATCACCAGCCCCGAGTCCTTCTCCCTCCTCTTTCCCTTATCCTTTGGTGCTGATCTAGCCCAGTCTACAGGTCCTGCTACATCTAACTTCCCAATTGTCTCTAGTCCGGTCACTTCTCCCCATCTGCCCAGCAAAGATGATGTCATTTTGACTTGTAAAAGATGATCTTTTCTAAACAGTTAAAAAAAAATAAAGAAAAAAAAAAAAGATGTCCTCTAACTGTGGGCCTCCCCCTGCCACTGTGCCTCCTCTCTAGAAGTCCTGAGGCTTCTGTGGAGCTTCCTACTTTGGCTGCTTCTCACAGCTTTTCCTATCTTTCCTTCCTGCTATTCTCCTTCAGTTCTACAGCGAGTCGGGCATGCCTACCAAACATCTTTCAGACAGCGTGTGTGCTGTGTGTGGGCAGCAGATCTTTGTGGACGTCAGTGAAGAGGGGATCATTGAGAACACGTATAGGCTGTCCTGCAATCATGTGTATCCTGCCTTGAGCTCCTGGGCCACATCTCTCCTGCAACGTGCACACTCCAGTGAGGGAGAGAAAGGGGGTGGTCATGACCCTAGGTGTGCTGTCCAGACCCTTGAGTGTAGGAGAGTCACGAGAGGGCTGCCTTCCCTGCGCTTTCCCACAGATCAGAGCCACTCTTAGGTAAACAGTGGTTACAGCCTGGCTGAGTCTGAGAGAAACCTGAGGCTGTAGCTAGTGAGGCTGTGCTAGCTGACCTGAGATCTGACCAGTCACAGGGGAAGAGGACCCTCTAATGGGATCCCTCAGTTTAGCATCAAATCCCCTATTCTGAATAACACTTCTAATATTTCTCATGTATTTACCCAGCTCCCATTCTGTGCCTATGTTGAGAGAGCCATGTGTCGTCTCCATTTTGCCCCATAACAATCTTGTGAGACAGGGATCATTATCCTTACTTTACATGTGAGGAAACAGGTTCAGACAGAGGGACTTGCACAACATTACAGAGCTGATAAAGCGTGAAGGCAGGATTTGAATCTTTTAAAGACTGGCCTGGGGCTGGAGTGCCGCCCTGGCTCTCACCATTTCCCTTGACCAGCGGTGCTCAGCTTCCACGAGTTCTGCATCCGCGGCTGGTGCATCGTGGGAAAGAAGCAGACGTGTCCCTACTGCAAAGAGAAGGTAGACCTCAAGAGGATGTTCAGCAATCCGTATCCTTTATTGGGGTCCTTGTTGGGAGTGGGCTGTGGGAAGAAAGTACTGGACAGTGTGACCTGCATTTGGGTCCTCCTGGGGCCCTCACTTCTGCCCTCAACCTATTCTCAGCCTCCTTGCAGCCATTGTCACGGACAGATAGATTTGTGTCAGCCTTAGGCTGTGTTTTCTTACACTGGCAGTTCCTTCTTAGAGAATGTGTTACTGGAGGCCATCCCTGCATGTTAGTCGTGGGGAACTAGGATTTCTCTCTCTACGTCTCTCGGGGCTGCCCTGCCTCCCGTACCAGTCCCCTCTGTTTGCCTCCTGCATTCTCTGCGTTCAGCTCTACTCCAACGGACAGGCTGTGAGGAAGAAGAGGAGGGGGAGGGCAAAGTTGGGAGTAGGCTGAGTAGGAAGTGAGGCTGGGCCCTTCCAGAAAGCCTCCATTCCTCTAGGCTCTGGAGCAGCTGGAAAGTGGGGCAGACCCAGGGAGCCCCACCACCCATGCTAGATCACTCCTGGCAGCTCTTGCACAGAGCCTCTTTTCTTTAACACACTGACAGCTGGGAGAGGCCTCACGTCATGTATGGGCAACTGCTGGACTGGCTTCGATACTTGGTAGCCTGGCAGCCTGTCATCATTGGCCTAGTCCAAGGCATCAACTACATTCTGGGCCTGGAATAGTGACGAAGAGCATCAGTGGAGAACCCACCCCACACGCCGTGGAGCTCAGGGCACTCTCCTCCCTGCCCACAAAGACCTCCTGGGTGGGAAAGACTCAAAGGGGCACTTGGGCCACTCAGGACCCCTCCGGTTGTGTTGGACTGGGGAGGGTTATGATGGAGACCCAGCCAGTGGGGCTATCAGCAGTGGGGGGCTTTTTAAAAGAAAACTATTTTGATGAATATATTTTAAAAACTTTTTTTTTTTTTAATTGTGGAGCATAGGAATTGCCCCCCTCCAGGCTTCACCCTCCCTGCCTAAGCAGGGTGGGGGCAGAGCCTTGACATTTTTGGTTTAAAGGAGCCTTCTCATCTCTGGCCGAGAACACTGCTGGGCTCCCAGGTAGCTGAAGACCTCAGCCCACCCATTCCCTTCTTCCCTGTGTGGGGCTCAAGCCTGGTGCACTTAGTATAGAAGAGCTAATGTACTCAGGCTGGTGCCACGGGTGAGCACTGAGGCCCCAAGTGTCCTCCCTCCCCCACTGTCTGGGACAACAGGACAGGTGTTGTGTCTGACTCTGTCTCCCCCTGTCCAGGAGCTATAGGCCGGTTGAGGCATGGAACCTTATCAGTGACTTGTCCAACAAGGGAAGCTTTGGGGCCTCAGAATTCATTGAAGATTTGTTTTGGGACAACTGGAAGAATCAGCACCATGGATACTTGCCCGTGGGCAGGGCTGTGGTCAGCCAAGAATAGAGGTCATATAGTTGGGCTGTGGGGCAATTGTTGGCAGCCATGACTGACGGCCCCTTGTGCAAGCTCATTCTTCAGTGGATCCTTCAGTGGAGTGGTGACATGTGCCAGCAGTCACTCTGCCACATCACTTCTTTCTTGAAAGCCTAAGAGTGCGTATGCATGTGTGTGTGTCTGTGTGTGTGTGTGCACGTGATGCAGAAGAATATGACAGATGTCAACTTCTCCCTGTGTCAGATGATATGCCCTTGAAGCTGGCAGGGGATTCCCAGTCCAGGGAATATCCCTACATGATTTTTGTCATTCATGGGTCCTCCCTGGGCCTGCCAACAAGAGTGGTGGGTGGGTAGAGGGATAAGGCCCAAGTGAGTACAGGTTCTGAGAGGGGGCTTCTAGGAAGGCCCCAGCCCTAGTACTAGGCGACTTGAATAAAGTGGGAGGTCAAACATGAGCCTTTGGCATTGGGTTTCTAGGGAATATGACCCAGTAGGGCCTGCTCCTTCAAGGGCAGCAAGAACCAAGCAGGATGTTGTCACTCCCGTCTGAATAAAGCTCCATGAGCTGGGTTGGAAAGCTGAACATTTATCTTGCTTTCTTCTTCCCACCTCTTTCCCTGGGGTCTCCAGGGGTGTCTTGCCTTTGCTAACCCCCATGTGAGACCTGAGGGTCTGGGGATGGTTGGGCCTGCCTTTCTGCTGTTCCTGGCTGTTCCCCTGCCGACATCCCTAGGAGTGGTGGAATGCCAGGCTCCTGTCCTGTGGCCTAAGGGGGCCTGGGGCATCACTGGGCCTGCTTTCAGACTGAGGTTGCTCTATGTTCTCACTGCCTGAGGCCAGTGTCCTGCCACCACTTGCCTTCCTTAGGGCCATACTCAACCTCGGCTTCTCTTCCCCAGCTGTGGCTTCCCATGGTACCCTTCTCTTCCCCAGCTGCTTATGCCACCTGTGGGGCTGCTCCCCTCCTCAGAGAGGGGAATGGGGCTGGTCAGAGGACCCAGGGATCACCCTTTCACTTTTTTCCCCCACCCCCATGTCAGGCTCAGGTGAGAAGCCGAGGCCAGGCTGTCCAAAGCTCTTTTCATGTGTAACAGTCCTGAGTCCCTTGACCTCCCCTTGGCCCAACTCTGGCCTTGGTTCCACTAAGGCAGAGTCCTCTTGTCTCTTCCTACCATCCCCCACTGGACTGTGTCTCTCAGAAACCCCAGGCAGCCTTGCCTCCTGACCTAATTCCTGGAGATGCTGGTGTTCCTGGGAGGAATTTCCCCTGCATCTTACGTGCTAGAAGCCCCTGGGGCAAGAGGTAGGGGGAGGAATTGAGAGGAGGAAAAATGTGAACTGGATACCTAGAGAAGAAGGATGTGACTTGTAGTCTCCTATGTCTAAATTAGGAATATGAATCTGGTTTTTCTACAAGAAACTTGAGATCACAGCTGACTGTGTTCCTGATGCATCCACTAAACCTAGTTCCATCTGTGGGCCTCCCTGGCTCTGTCACCAGCCCTTGCACCCTCCTGATCACAGGAGTCACAAACCTCAGACGTGCAGCTCCTGTCCACACTTAATGTATGCATGCACATTGGATCACCCAGCCCTGGTCTTTCTGCTTCCATGGATAACTGCATGACCCTGAGAGGGAACCTCCTTAGATTTAGCATCCTAGGTTCCTCACACGCCTCACCCTGAAACCTGGCCCTCCCGCAGCCCCAGCACCATTTGTCCCATCAGTGACCAGATTCATATTCTGGTGTAGCCTCTGTTGCCGGAGCCAGTGCTGAACCAGTCCGCCTCTTCCCCGGGAAGTGCCCACCCTTCCCTCCTGTTAGGGTTGGCTCTCGAGCTTGTGTACCAGTTCCTGGGTTGGCCGTTTGAGAGTTCTACAGACAAGGGGGAAGTGCGCTCGGTGTATTTCCTGTGGTGGGTGTACATGCAGCTAGACACAGCTAACTTGAGTCTTGGAGCTCCTAGAGGGGAGCTTCTGGAAAGGAAGCTTCTTCAGGACCTCTCGGAAGCCAGGTAGGAGTCTGGAACTACTAGTGAACCTAGACCTGTAGCTCTGGCCAGAGGGGCTAGGATGAGAGATGGAGGGTGTGATGGTGGGTGCTGGGAGTTGCAGCCGACCTTGGGGCTGGTGGCTGGGGGAGTGGGGAGCCTGGGAAAGGCCAGGATGTGGATGGGCTGGTATGGCATTGAGCCTGAAATGGTCCAACTTGGGGTCCCCAGTGCCTAGGAAAGTTGTCCCCTTGAATATTAGTGTGAAGGTGAAGGAGGAAGCAGATGCCTGTTCATATGGAAACAAAGACCTGGCTGTGAAGAGGGAAGGTGAACACCAAAGTCCTGACACTTGGATGGGGCAGAATTGATCTGTGAGAGACTCTTACCTAGTTCACACCTAGGTGACCCTGGGGGTGGCGTGGGGGTAGGTTAGAGATCCCAGTCTGGTATCTGGAGAGTAGGGGTCCCAAGAACTGAAGGTTTCTGGCCACTGAACTTTGGCTAAAGCAGAGGTGTAACAGCTGCTCAGGATTCCCTGGTTAAAAAGTGAAAGTGAAATAGAGGATGGGGGCAGTGCTTTCCCAGAAGGCTTGCTCGGCATCCTGCCCTTCCCAGAAGCAGCTCTGGTGCTAGAGAGAGCACTGCCTCCCTGTGTGACTGGGTGAGTCCATATTCTCTCTTTGGGTCTCAATTTTGCTTTCCCTAATGAAGGGGTAAGATTGGACTAGGTAAGCATCTTATAACCATTTGTGGTCCTGAGAGCTGGCGTGGGGAAAGATTGTCACTTGATGACCCCCCAGCTCTGTTTCTGAGTGCTGAAAGAGCTCCAGGCTATGCTACGGGAGGAAAAGCCAGCTACTGAGAAAAAGCGGGAGTGGTTTACCATTCTCCTCCCCCACCTTTCACCAGAGAAGAGGACATTGTCACAGATAAAGAGCCAGCTCACCAGCTCCTGACACATGCATCGTGACCATGAGACACAACTGGACACCAGGTAGGCCTTGGGGCTACGCATGGGCAGGAGGGGTAGAGTGAGGTCTATGAACAGAATGGAGCAATGGGCTAACCAGGAGCCTTCACCCCAAGGCAAACACCACCCAACAAACCTGGTGCTGCTGCTTTAAGAACCTGGGCGAATGCTGTGGCTCTGGCTCCATTCTAAAGCTCCTCTGTACTCTATTCAATAAGGGGCTAAAGGGGTGGATGCTGAGGGGCTCCTCTTCCCACTCTGATTCCCTGGCTAGAGCCCAGACATCTCTGGGCTGGAGTTACATCCTTACCCGGGCAGCCCACTCTGTCTCCAGTCCAGATATGAGCCAGGATGCTGAGCGCTCCCAGGCAGCCCAGCCGCTGACCTGTGACTGTCCTTTCCTCAGACCTCAGCTTCTTGTGGGTCCTGCTGTGTGCCCACATCATCACTCTTCTGGTCAGAGCCACACCTGTCTCGCAGACCACCACAGCTGCAACTGCCTCATCTAGAAGCACAAAGGACCCCTGCCCCTCCCAGCCCCCAGTGTTCCCAGCAGCTAAGCAGTGTCCAGCATTGGAAGTGACCTGGCCAGAGGTGGAAATGCCACTGAGTAAGAAGCACAGTGGTCAAGGGTGGGCTATGGGCACAGAGGTTCCCAGGGTCGGGTTGACTCCTGAGCGCCAGCCCCCTTCTGCCATGCACCACCAGCTGGGCCAGCTGGACTGAGCATGCACCATTCTCCCTCCCCAACCCACTGTCATGGGTGCAGGCTTAGCACAGCTCCCAAGATGCTCCCTATGAAGTAGGACAGAGAACTCAAGACATAAGTAATGGTCACAGACCTCCCAGAGCCTTGGTTGCAGTGAACTCCAAGGACAGCCCTGCCACCCAGAGCCTGCGGGCCTCTGGCCATCTCAGAGGAGCAGTAGCCATCCAGCACTGCCTCTGTCACCTGGGTTCCCAAGTCACCGAGGCTGGGCACTAGAAAAGGTCATCCTGAGGAGACAGGTTCAGTAGAGGAGTCATCACGTGAACCAAGGACCCTTCCTCACGTTCCCCCATGTTTAGGGCTAGGGCCTCAGAGACAACTGCACTTCCCCTTTAACAGACATTCCCACCTGGGTGGTGTGCAGAGCAGTTCTCTAGGTTCCAGATTCATGGGGACTGAGGGGAGCTGGCAGGGAGGGCACAGCAGGGCAGGGCAGGGGAAGGGCCTGCTCTTTGGAAGGGCTAACTACTGCCTGTGTCCCTAGATGGAACGCTGACCTTATCCTGTACGGCCTGCAGCCGCTTCCCCAACTTCAGCATGCTCTACTGGCTGGGCAATGGTTCCTTCATTGAGCACCTCCCAGGCCAGCTGTGGGAGGGGAGCACCAGGTGAGGGTCGCAGCAGCCAGGTGGGTGGGAAGGCGGCCTTTTCTGCGGCCCTCTCATGACCTTTCCTTCCCCTTCGCTCCAGCCGGGAACATGGGAGCACAGGTACGCGGCTGTACAAGGCCTTGGTGCTGGAGCAGCTGACCCCTGCGCTGCACAGCACCAACTTCTCCTGTGTGCTCATGGACCCCGCACAGGTTGTCCAGCGTCACGTCATCCTGGCCCAGCTCTGGGTAAGGAGCCCAAGGAGAGGCCTCCAGCAACAGGAGGAGCTCTTCTTCCATATGTGGGGAGGAAAGGGTGGGCTCTGCCAGAGCAGCCTCTAAACTAATGCCCAGCATTCCTCAAGGTCAGCCAGACAAAAAGGAACTTGGGTCTTGGGCAGGGGAGGCATGGCCTGGGGCAAAGTGATGAGATGTCCCTTGTTTCCTTGGCCTGATCCTTGTCTGCCTTCACTTCCCTAGGCTGGGCTGAGGACAACCTTGCCCCCCACCCAAGAAGCCCTGCCCTCCAGCCACAGCACAGGGCCACAGCAGCCCACAGCAGCAGGGTTAAGACTCAGCACAGGGCCAGCAGCAGCACGACCTTGACCAGAGCCTGGGTCCTACCCGTCTACCTGAAGTCAACAGTCCCTGACTGCCTGCAGGCTGTGTGGGCGAGCAACGCGCCCCCTCCTCCTCTGCTTTGGGTCCCTTCTCTCACCAAATTCCAACTCCATTCCCACCTACCTGGAAAATCGCAGCCTCCTTATAATAATGCCTCCTTCTCCTCCTGCCATTTTCTACCTACCCATTAGCTTTCCTAACGTCCTACTCCTCACACTGCTCTACTGCTCAGAAACCACCAAGACTGTTGATGCCTTAGCCTTGCACTCCAGGGCCCTACCTACATTTCCCACATGACTTTCCGGATGCCTCCAACTATTCTTGCTTTCCCCAGACAGCTCCCACTCCCATGTCTCTGCTCATTTAGTCCCGTCTTCCTCACCATCCCAGCAGGGGAACTCTGAAGCCTGGTTGAAACGCCACCTCTTCAATGAAGTTACCCTTGTTCAGCTCTGGCCACATTCTGCAGACTTCATGTCTTCTTGCTGTATGTTGTTTTTTTGTTGTTTTCCTTCACTCTAATGGACTGATCCAGGGAAGGGATGGGGGCAGTGGCTGCTTCGGCTCCACACTGTATCTGTGTCATCCCCACATGGGTCCTCATAAAGGATTATTCAATAGAGGCATCCTGACATCTGTTCATTTAGGCTTCAGTTCCACTCGCAGGAACTTTGCCTGTCCCAGGAGGGAGTATGGGAGAGAGGGACTGCCACACAGAAGCTAAAGACAAAACCTGCTTCAGGGGAACACAGGTTCTTGAAAAAGAAGAGAGAACAGCCCATAATGCTCCCCAGGAGCAGAGGCCAGTAATGGAGACTGGGAAGAGCCTGGAAAGATGCGCCTCCAGGAAAAGGGATGAGAGAAAGGAGGTGGTCTGAAAGACTCAGTGGGGACAAGGTAGGCTCCAAAGAGCCTAGATTTCCCCTCCTTTTCCCACATAGATCAAGGCAATTCAGTACTCACGGGAGAAAAATAGACTTTATTTACAAGTAATAACATTTAGAAAAGATCCATCCCCGGCCCTTAAAAACCTTCCCATCACTCCAAATCCCACCCCAGTGCAAGTCTGGGGAAGGTAGGGTGTGAGCTGCCGCTGAAGGCTGTCCCCCAACCCCACTCCTGAGACACAGGCCCATCGTCCTGGGAAAGAGCATCCTCTGGCAGGTGCTCCCACCAGGTCAGACCCAGTCCTGGACTTCAAGAGTGAGGGCCCCTGCTAGGCCCAGCCTCCAGGAGAGCAGGAACCAGGGCCTACTCCTCTTATGGTCCCTTCTAGATCCAGAGGCTAAGAGGAAGACTGGCCAGGCCCAAGGACCCAGCCATCAAAACCAGCCTCAAATCTGGTTGTGATGGAGAAGTGACTTTGCTTTAAGAAAAAAGGAGGCAAGGTAGGGAGAGCGCCCACACTGTCCATGCTCCAGGCCTTCTGGGCCAGCTCTGAGAAGTTGCCAGTGAAGGTCCAGGGACCAGGTCAGGGTGCGGGCAGGCATCACTGTCTCTAGGGGTTTGGCTACTGTTGGCCTGGGAGCTGAGAGAAGGCACTGAGAGGGACAGTAGAAGGAGGACCAGGTGAGGTCAGCATCAGCGACACAGGTGGGGCCACTCACGGGTACTGGCCCTTTAGTGCTTTGCCTGAAAGAGACAGTCACAAGGCCAGATGAGAACTTGGAATGCCAGCCTGCACCCACAGGTTCGGAAGACCTCTTCCTGCTCCCACGCCCCCATCTGGATCCCCTCCCTTGTGAGCCCCGTGGTTATCAGGTGCTGGCTATGCCTGAGCAGCTCTGGGTGCTCTCCATAAGAATGGGGCCATCTGTCTTCTCTCCTTCGTAACGAGTAGCTACCACGACAGCGACACCTCTCACCCTGCGCCCTCCTGCAGCCTGGCGTGGGCCTGTCTTGGATGCTACTCCGTGGGGTGGTCTAGGGGGTGCCCATGCTCTCATCAGGTTTCCCTCCCCCATCCTGCCAGTGGCCTCTACCTTGCCCTTGGCTCGAGGGGTGGCAGTGGTGGCAGCAATGGCAGCAGCAGTGGCGGCGCTGGCTGTAGTGGTGGCGATGCGTGGAGAACGGCGGGTTCCACTGCGAGTGTTGGGGGAAGCCTTGGACAGGGCCTTCTTTGAGGCTCCCCGCCGCAGAAGGCTGTTCCCCAGCTTCTTGGGTGTGTTGAGGATGCTGAAGGCCATCGACTGGCGCTGGTCAGCCTGCAAGGAAGGGCTGTCAGACCGGGAGACCCAATGCTGCCCTCCCAGGCCAGCCTGCTGTGTGACACTCTGCCAGCAAGGTCCTGCCAGGGCGTCGCTTCATCCCCCTTCAGCCCCAGCCTCACCTGTTTAGTTGAAGCTGGAGCCGCTTTCTTCTGGGCCTCAGTAGCGCTCTGTTTGCGCCCTTCATGTCGGTCTCGGGGAGTCATGGGGCGTGGGAAACAGCTGGTGGCCTTCTTAGACTATGGGGAACAGGACAGTTAGGCAGACAGTAGCAAGAGTCGTCACATCTGAAGCCAAGTGTCTTGTCCTCTTAGAGCTGAGTGGACCTTGTAAGTCAACTTGTGCAACCTGCTCCCCTACCCAACTCTGGGCCAGAGGCTTCCCTTCCCAACAGTTCCCATCCATGGGTTAGACCCTTGGAGAGAGGGAAGGAGAAGGGGAAGTGAGGGAAGGAGAAGGGGAGAGAGGGAAGGCTCCCTTTAGTCCTTGGTGAGCTGGGCCTGACCTGGGCACAATGCTGGAGCAACACCCAGAAGCCTACCTCAGGAGTTCCAGGGCCCTGGTGGGGCTCTAAGGAGACCCGTTTGCGCTGCTGCCGGGTGGTGATGCCAGTGCCCTCGGCTATCTGGATTGGCTGCATGCTGGCTCGGCGCAGGGTCTCCTGGGGATCTCCAGTTTTCATCTCCTCATCTGTGATGGTGCCCAGGCTCAGGGAAGGCTGCATGGGTGGAAGAGGCGGTCAGTGGACCGTAGCTGTGTGGAGATGGAGCAGGACCTGGGGCTGTCCCAGAACTCTGCACTTGCCCGGCATTTAGGGTAGGTGGACCCTTCCTACCTCTCAGGAGGCCTCCCTTCCTGTTCTGCTTTCTACTTACACCCCGGGCAAATGGCCACAAGCAGTGCAGTCCCAACCAGATTCCTCTCCGAGCTCCTGCTCATCCCCAGGGACTTCACTCCTAAGCACCTTCCCTGCTGTCTGTTCTGCCTGGAAGCATGAGAAGGTCACCCTCCCCGTCCTTGGCCAGTCAGTGATCCAGGGCTCTAGTGCTCAGGCTAGATCAGCAGGTGGGATTCTAAGGGAGGACAGGGATGGGAGGCCCTGCACAGTGACCCCAGGGCTCACCCTGGACTCCAGGGGATAGCAGGTCTTCAGGTGTGGGGGGCACACTCGATTGCGCTGCTGCAGCTCTGCAATGCGGTTCCAGTCATCCAGCTGCTCAGGCTCATCCTGGCAAGTGCCCATGTAGAAGCTGTTCCTTCCTGTGGATGGCAGGGAGGTGGGAACAAATGAGCCCGGAGTCAGCAGGTTGCCTGCTGGCCCTGGCATCTTGCCAGCCTTTGCTGCCACCTACCCCATAAACTTGAAGCCAGCACACCAATCTGATTCAGTGCCGCAGGTGCAGGAGTATGGCACACAGACTATTTCTATCCTAGGGGCTTGCTCACCGCCTTCTCCTTGGAGAGGGCAGAAGAGGTCACATGCAGAGGCTGCTACTACATCTTATTCACCAGCCAAGGCTTGGTGCCCAACACCCAGAGGAACGAATTAAGGACCAGGAATTGATTCCCAGGGGCTCTCTGGTGCCCAAAGGACAAGAGCTTCCAAGAAGAGTCTGGCCAGCCTGGCCTTTCCAGCAGCCCATCACCACCTAAGGGCATGGAGGACTCCCCACGGCTAAGTGTCACAATTGTGCTGGGAATCCCAGGCCCTTAACTCTGGCTAAGAGTGCCCCTAACACAGCCAGCCCCTAGATGGGCAGGTAAGGAAGGCCCTGAGGCTGCAGGAAGGAGGGGCAGGTGGAGGTGGACGGTAGCAAGGAGGCCAGCCTTGGATTTTTAAAAAGCTTTCCTCTTTTCCCTGTGCCACAATCCACCTTCCATTCTAATTTTGGGGTATAGTAAGTCCCTGTAGTCCCCTCACCTGGAGGGGCCCCACTGGACACCCCGGCCTGGGAGCGACGAGCAGAACTGCGAGTGGTGGGGCGGTAGCCGGGCAAGCTGAGCAGGGCTGAGTTGCCATAATCGGGAGAACTCAGGCGAGCTAGAGACTGAGTAGAGGAGGTGGCTCGCAGGCTAGCCTGGGAAGCCGGAGCAGACCGCGTGCTATAGAAGGATGAGTTGGCGCTGTCTGGCTCTTCCACATCTAGCTTCTGGAAGAGAGAGTGAATCTGTTGCAATGGGGTGGGCCCTGGCACTATACAGAAGCCTCCCATTCCCTCCCAAAGCCCTCAGATCCCACGGCACATCCATGCATTCCCAACAGCTTTGCAAAGGCCCTTAACGTGTGTCTGCAAGAAATGGGCCTTGTTGACAGAAGCCCTCACAAGGTGGTGCTGATGTTGTCAAGACTCTTTTCTATGCATTTTTTTCATGGAGTCTATTCATAATGCTTTGAGGGAGGGAATGCAGAGTGTTTATTGGCCCATTTTAGAGGTGAAGTGCAAAGAAATGAAGTGACTAGCCCCAAATCACACTGCTAGGAAGTATCAGAGCTGTCTCCTGACTAGTCAGGCTCATCCCACAGCCTCTGCTGTCCCTCAGTCCAAGCTTCCAGGGCCCTTACCATTTTCTACAACTTCCCCAACTTCTTGGTAGCAGGGGACACCCTGCACACACAGGTCCTCCCTGCTGTACCGGGGCCCCTCTCCCCTCCTCCCAAACCTCCCCTTCAAGATGTGGAAACAAAGGTAAGGGCCCACAGCCTGGCAGGCAGTCCACTGGGCAGCAACAATGCCTCTCAGCTGCATGGGGCATGCTGGGAGGCACTGGATGGGCTGCAGCTTCACCATGTTCTCTCCCTTCACCCTGCACAGGCTCAGTGCTACACATGGAGAGAACACTACCCTTAGTCAGGAGGCAGGGATCTAATCCCAGCCCTGCCCTTTTCTTCAGAAGTGCCCCTAACCAAGTCACTGCCCTTTTTAAGACCTCAGCTTTCCCACTGTAACATGGACTGGCTGCTCATCCCTGCCTGCTCCTGAGTGCCCAATGCAAAGACGCCCTTGAGAGGAAGTGGGAATTGCTGCCCTGCAACCCCTGTCCCGACAGCCTGACCTTGGTCATGGTGATGTTGATGATCTGTGTGGTGCGCCGACGAGCAGAGCGGGTCTTACGACCTGAGTCCAGGAAGACATCTCCCAGGGAGTCCAGGCTGCTCTCCAGGGGGGCCTGACTCCGAGCAGGGATGGGAGTGAAGTAGAGACTCTCCAAGGATTCTACCTTGGGGGGCAGGCGCTGGGAGATAGGTGAGGCTGGTTCTCCAGGGACACTGGTGCCGTCTGGCTGGGTACGAGGCAGCTTGCTATGGAAAGGAAACCTGCTGAGGTACAGTCTTTTGGGCTAGAAGGCATTTTGTCCAGCCCTTTTCCAAAGTGACCATTTCCCATACTATAAGCAGATGAGGTCAAGCAACCCATGTC